CCAAACGTTCTCAAGGCGCTGACCTCACTTTGTTCCAAATGTTCTCAGGGCGCTGACCTCACTTTGTTCCAAACGTTCTCATGACGCTGACCTCACTTTGTGCCAAACGTTCTCAGGGCGCTGACCTCACTTTGTTCCAAATGTTCTCAGGGCGCTGACCTCACTTTGTTCCAAACGTTCTCATGACGCTGACCTCACTTTGTTCCAAACGTTCTCAGGGCGCTGACCTCACTTTGTGCCAAACGTTCTCAGGGCGCTGACCTCACTTTGTTCCAAATGTTCTCACGGAGCTGACCTCACTTTGTTCCACGCGCTGCTGATATTCAGTAGCTCCGGGGTGTTAAATCAACCACAATGTTCCGACGAATGTGAGGTGCGCTGAACAACACTCTGATGCCGTCAGTGCTTCGTAGCTCAGAAGAAACATTTCTGCAGAAATGTTCTACCAGTAAAATCCAGCAACACGTTCTATAAAATGTTCTGCAGGAGGAACTTTGAGCTCATGGAAAGGAAACAAGTTTCAAACGTGGCTGTATCATGGTTTGCTTTAAATGAACTGTTGGATTGGCTCGTGCGCTTTGGTTTGAAGTGCAGGAGAAACTAAAAGTTATAATCTTTGTGTTTTATGACGGGAGCAGCTCGGTCGGGGTGACCTGCTGGAGAAACCACGTGTGACTCAGAACTGTGGGAAAACTGATGAATTTTCTGTTGCAGTCTCACTGAACCCTGAGCTTTTTCAACAGAGCAACCTGCAAGTCCTGCATCACTCTGTGACATTTACGACCAGAATTCATGACATTAACCCACAAAACTGGACTCTGGGCTGTGCACATTAATTAGTTGCGCACGTAGCGCCCATCTCAGCCCAATTTGTGCACGTTTATGGTTTAATCTGTTGGAGTACGATGCAGAAATGAAGACGGGCAGATTTGGACCAGTTTTTTAATGTCCGTCTGAGCCCCAGGTGCCAAAGTTGGACCTGAGTCCTGTTGTAAGGGCCTGCTGTGCTCGTCCTCCACCATCCGGCTCTGAGGCCACTTGGACATGAGAGGCCCTACAAGAGGCTGAATGAGCTTCCTTCATGGCTGGCCAGGCTCAGAGAGGAGCAGAGAGAGCTGCTGCTCCTCATCCAAAGGAGTCCGGTGAGGTGGAGTCCTGAAGGTTTTCAGGGCACCCCCCGGGCCAGACCCAGAACCCATTAGAGGGGTTATGAACAATTTCAGGCCTCCTTGGGATCCCTGAGCTGGAGAGTCTCTGGAGAGAGGGGTGTCCCTCCTGGATCCGTTGCCCCTGTGACCCCGACCATCAATAAGTGGCAGATGATTAACTGATCCACGGATAGATCACTTGACAGAGACGTTTGTAGACGTGGACGTTTTCTGTCATGAGAATGTGCACGACCTAGAATACAGCTGTGCAGGTTGTGCATTTTCAAGTCACCAGCAAGTCTTCACCAGTTGCAGCTCAGTGAGATTCTGGTTCCAGTAAAGACTTCCTGTAAACCGTCTGATCAAAGGTTCTGTTTGGTGGTTTCCTGCACCCGAACTAAAAGCTGTTCCTGAAGTCGGGCTGCTGGTCTCCATTACAGAAGAGCCAAAGGTTCCCCCAGCCTGTTGGTTTGTGACTGGACTCTTTCTGGTGGCGAATGCTGCTGGTTTACATGATCCCCCAGCCTGTCGGGCAGAGCCGGGACCTCGAGAGGGAAGCCGTCCGATCTGAGGCACGAGCCTCTGCAGACCTGCTCTCTCCTGGCGTGAGGCTCCGCACTGCGCCACGCGTCCTGGGCTCCGTTCAGAACAAACATCAGGTCATTGAAGCGGCAGAAGGTTTCGTAGCATGGGGTCAGAAGCAGACGGTCATTTTAGCACAACGGTGAAAAGACGCTGAGGACGACTGTGTTCCTGGAGGAGTCCGGAGCTGGAGTCTTTAAAGCTCGAGAACCTTTAGAAGTTCTTGGTAAAAGTCGTATGTAGTGAACTAGGCCTGAGGTCAAATCCTGGCCTTGGGGGCCTTTCTGGGACAAGAACTGTTATTTCATTGATTTGAGTCCAGAAACACAAGATTAAGTTCATCCAGAGACTTTCTAAGTGTCCTGCACTGATCAATTGAAAGAACACTCTCTTTTTCTATTATCATTACTATTTTACAAATGTTTTGATAATCAAAGTGTGTTTAGTTCAAACCATTTTTAAATGTTGAAGTGAACTACTCATTTTAAATCAACTGTGAAACAGTATTAGTGATTTTTAATCCTCATTCAAAGTAGAAATCAAATTGGAATGTGTTACGGAGTAATTCATGCATTTTCTGATCTTCTGTCTGAAATGAGCAAATTGTGAAGTTGGTAAAAGGTCGAAAACAAGTTGTTGGAACGAACTGTCATGTTTTTAAATCCTCTCAGACGTAATATAGAGAAGCTGGCACCTGTTTTCCCCCAACTCGTCCAAACATTTCTCTCGTCTGTCCCTAAAACATTGTCAATCTGTTCCAAAACATTTTCTGTTTTTCTGACTTCTAGTGACCTCTTACGTCACAAAAACACACCCCTGTCTGGTCGATTTGACCAATCAGGAACCTCCCAAATGAACCGGAAATAGAACTCTTTAAATGTCGGTACTTCCTAGTTCAAACCAGTCGTTTGCAGAGAGCAGCTCCAGTCGAGTTCAGTTCGGAGAGCAAGCCGAACTGAGAAGTGCTGGGGAGAACAGAAGTCCAGACATGATCCGGAGTTCGTCCGAGTCTTGTGGGAATTATGCAATCTTCCACATCTGAGTGGAACTCTGACGGACTTACTCCTCTTGTGAGTCCACCGGGAGGTGAACTTGTGTCGAACAAGTACCGTCACTACTTCGGACGATTCACAGCTGTTCCTACGGAGACGCTGAAAGGGTGCGTTAAATGGAACTTCGTACCAGTGGAGACATCTCCTCCAGGTAAAGAGTTGATTTACACCACCTAAGTGTACCGAGGAAGAAGCTGGGATCTCAACGGAGCGTGCCGTTGCTGATACTGACAAAATTCCCTCACCCATCTCTCTCAAGATAAACTTCATTTTCCATCTTTAAACTCTTCTTTTTGCTAGAAATCATTCCAGATATTTTCAGAAATGTCTGTTATGAAGCAAGGAAAACCATCGCCGTATGGTTTTCTAATTGTAAACTGATTAATTAACCTGTTGTTATTTTCAATTTGCCAAATTAATGTAAATGTTTGATGTTAAATTTTGATTCTGTAAATAAATGACCACGTTCATTTTGATGGGTCAAAGAAAATTAACGTCTCACGTTACATTTATCAAATTCAATGCACGATATTATTCAGTCCAGAAAAATGAATGAATCTGTTTAATTTATGAATATATCACAGAATATGTTCATCTACAGTAAAAGTCGTAAATGTTGACACCGAAGGTACAGATGTGATTTTACGTCGGTGCTTCAGGTCTGCAGCGTCCCGTCAGGGTCCGTTTGTCTCGTTCTGTCCCTCCTTCTCCCCTTCCATCTGAAGCACTCGTTCATTTTTCTTTCTGCCCCCTCTCGGGGTCGTGGAACATGTCCCCTCCTTCAGACTGTGGACCTGCCATTTAGATTTCCCCTGAAGCCACATCCCCCCCTCCCCCCCCAATAACACCTCAACCTCCTAAACAAACAGAGATCCGTGATGAGACACAAGAACCAGTTTCCTTGTGTATTCCTGACGTGCGGCTCTAAAACACCCTGTAACAGAATGAATCTCTTGATGAACTATCAGCAGAGGATAAGAGCATCTTATATTGAAACCTGACAGGGTTGTTGGTCAAATTCTAGTTGATTATTCATAAAACTGACAGAGTTGGATCCATGTAGGAGTTTTGGCTACTGTCCGTTAACTGGTTTGAGTTTATATTTAAATCATGGATGATGTCACCTGCTATTAGTGAAAATCTTGCAGCCCTGCTCAGCTCGATAACCTTCAGTATGTTAATAACCGTGCAGCGCTTTCCACGACCCGTTAGCATCTGACTGGACTGTGGCAAATTACACAAACCTCCTTTATCGACCTGATTATTATAATCGAGGAGCTGCTGCCTCAGTAGAACCTTTCAGAAAACACCCAGCTGGAGGCTCGACCAGGTCACCCTGCACGTGTAAGACCCCTGTCCTGACGCGGCTCAGTTCTCCGGCCTCAGATAAAGTCTCTGCTCTCAGAGTTAAATAATTCAGCAGCACACTGGGTCCATGTGAACTTTCTGCTTCACAAGGACATCACGAGCAGCCGATGTCTCGCTCAGGAAGACCTGCAGCTGCTGAATATCGTATGTCTCTGTCAGGACAGGAGGACGAACAAACGATACCTGACCAGGTGTCTGTTTGGAGCTCACGTTGTCCAAAAGCGTCAACAGGAGGAAAAGGCTGAGTCGTAGGATTGATGTGAAAATGTTCAGAGGACGGGTCGCAGCATCCTGCGGCTAAAATCCACATGTCGGTTTATTTTTGTTCCTAAAATCTGTTTTTATTCCTCAGGCTACGCGTTCCTGCTGTTCCAGGAAGAGGCTTCTGTTCAGGCCCTGATCGACGCCTGCATCGAAGAGGACGGGAAGCTGTACCTGTGTGTCTCCAGTCCCACCATCAAAGACAAACCGGTGAGTTTTACATCCGTCCTCTGTCTTCACCCTCTTCTACGCCCTAAAAAAACCAAGAAGTTACACAGCTGTGAAAATACAGCGGGAGGGCGGGAAACTGCTGAGACTTAGCTGTTAAAGCTGAAAGAAGCAAAACACCAGCTAAAAGCAAAAATAAATAAATAAAAATTAAAAAGCTAAATGGTAGCTAAAGTTAAAAAAACAAAGTAAAAGTAGCAAAAGGATAGCTAAAAGTAACAAAAGGCAAGCTAAAAGTAGCACGCAAACAGCTAAAAGTAGCAAACAACAAGCTTAAAGTAGCAAAAGGCAAACTAAAAGTAACAAAGGGATAGCTAAAAGTAGCAAAATGATAGCTAAAGTAGCAAAAGGATATAGCTAAAGTAGCAAAAAGATATAGCTAAAATAGCAAAAGGATAGCTAAAGTAGTAAAAGGATAACTAAAATTAGCAAAAGGATAGCTAAAAGTAACAAACAGCAAGCTAAAAGTAGCAAAAAACAAGCTCAATGTAGCCAAAGGACAGCTAAAAGTAGCCAAAGGATAGCTAAAAGTAGCCAAAGGATAGCTTAAAGAAGCAAAAGGCTAGCTTAAGTAGCAAAAGGCTAGCTAAAGTAGCAAAAGGCTAGCTAAAGTAGCAAAATGATAGCTAAAAGTAGCAAAAGACTAGCTAAAGTAGCAAAAGGCTAGCTAAAAGTACCAAAGGCTAGCTAAAGTAACAAAAGGCTAGCTAAAAGTAGCATTAATTCAACCTAGCAAAAGGCTAGCTAAAATTAGCTAGCTGAAAGTAGCAAAATGCAAGCTTAAAGTAGCAAAAGGATAGTGAAAAGTAGTAAAAGGCTGGCTAAACTTGCAAAAAGCTAGCTAAAGCAGCAAAAGGTTAGCTAAAATTAGCAAACAGCAAGCTCAAAGTAGCAAAAGGAAAGCTAACAGTAGCAAAAGGAAAGCTAAAAGTGGCAAGCAAACAACTAAAAGTAGCAAACAACAAGCTAAAAGTAGCAAAAGGCAACAAAAGTAAGCTTAAAGTAGCAAAAGGATAGCTAACTAAAAGTATGAAAAGGCTATCTCGAAGCAGTAGAAGTAGAAGAAGAGGACAAAAACAGGGCCAGTAACCGAAGCTGGATTGTAAGAGAACAATGTTTTTTTGTGAAGGAACTGAATAGATCTCCATGTATTTTTTGAGGGTGAATTTGTAAATAAAGTAAATATTTTGAAAAGTATAAAAATGATAAAACCGTAAAGCAACAGAAACCACCTGAACGAGCCGAACGTCTCTTGACATGAGAACAGCTCAACGTATGCAGAAGTGGAAAAACCATATGGAAATATAAAAAACTGGAAAACAGAAAGAAAACTGACTCTGTGTTCACACAAAAACCCAAATATAAGTTTTATCCAATTATCAGAGACAAAACTGAAAGTAAACGGTGGATTACCTTCTGAGGATAACGGATGGGTTAAACTTGGTTATTAGCTGTTTTGTTGTTTCCTCGATAAAAAGGGACATTTTTTATTTTTTCCTCTTGTCCTGTCTGTCATTGTGACACAGAATTATTGTGAGAGTGTCAAAGTGATGCTCGACAGATTTACTTTCACAAGCAGAGCATCATGGCTGACCTTAATGCTCCACTTGATACATAAATTTAATTTTATTAGAATTTGCTTTGGGCTTGTTCCAGATGTAACGGACACGGGGATGAAAAACAAAGAAGACAAAGCAGAAAAGTGAGAGAAGAGTTGAAATGTAAAGGAGATAGGAATAGAGGAGAGAGAGAGGGATAAAGAGAACACAGATCAGCATCATTGAAGTCTGACTCTAGACCTGCGGAAAGAAAAACAAGACGAAACCGAGAAACCACAACAACAAACAACTTATATAATGAAACTCATCACATCGTTAGAAAAGGATGTTTTGAAAATGTTCCGCTCATCAATGAGACCACGGGATCTCTGTGTTTCCACTTCAGGGATGAATTGTTGTCTAGAAAACGATTGCGTCGGTCACGTGTTCAAATGTCGGCAGTTCGACTTCAGATGGGACCGTTTTCATCTGAGACAAATCTTTTGGCCTTGATAGTTAAATCACGTTCAGCGGCGCTTTGGATGATGATGAAATAACTTTTTGTTGGTAGTATTACATAAGGAAGCCCAGTATTACCTCATCCTGCGGGGTATACGTTACGTACCTGGTACCTACGTATCATGTACCTGGTATGAACTCTGTGTCGGGTACTTTCTCAGTACCTAAGGGCTGTTTTATGTTCTGCTACCTGTTTTGTTACCTGCGGAGACATTTCAGACTTTTACTTTTCATCCTCAGGTCCAGATCCGTCCCTGGAACCTGAACGACAGTGACTTCGTCATGGACGGCTCTCAGCCTTTGGATCCTCGTAAAACCATCTTTGTTGGGGGCGTGCCGCGGCCTCTGCGTGCAGGTAACTGCTGACATGAAGCTGCATCTTCTCAGTGAGTCCCTAAAGCCTCCAAATGGTCTTCAGAACATTAAACTGGCACGGAGCGCCGAGCCCGCAGGGGGATGAAAGTCCTCCCAGAGAGAAAGAAATCCTCACGCTGGGTTTCCTGGAAGGCAGCTCAGAGGTCGCCCTGCTATGAATTCATGCTGTAATGGATGACTGAGCCTTTCTGTTGCTGGGATCATCGTTGGCTCCTTGCCTCCGCTGAGACTCTTCTCCAGTTAATATAAAATAAGAAAACATTTTATATCCGTGTAAATAAGTTTCATTTTAGAAACACTGATCGTCCCGTTCCTTCGTTCCTTTCTTCTTGTCCAGTGGAGTTGGCGATGATCATGAACCGGCTGTACGGAGGCGTTTGCTACGCCGGCATCGACACCGACCCGGAGCTGAAGTACCCGAAGGGCGCCGGCCGCGTGGCCTTCTCCAACCAGCAGAGCTACATCGCTGCCATCAGCGCCCGCTTTGTTCAGCTGCAGCACAACGACATCGACAAACGGGTGAGCGAGTTCGGGAGCTTCATTCATGGCGTCGATTTTCTGAGAGAGGCGTCACAACCAGGCGCGGGGGCGAAGGGTGGGGGTGTGGGGGGTCACTGGTGTGGCTGAACTCTGCTCCTGTTGTCTCTCGTGAAGCAGAACCTTCATTACATCGGGTTTTCAGCACAGCCGACAACAACGGGAGGCCGAGCGTGGCTGTGTAATCAGTGAGGCTGCAGCCGTCAGGACAGATGTTTCCAGCTGCAGACACACAGCTTGGTGTAATTATAGTAGTTCTCTTGACATGAACATCTCCCAGAGCTGAGCTCCAGCCCGGTTATTTAAGGCGCACCGGCCGGTTGCAGCGAGACAGACGGTGACCGAGACAGACTGGTTGTCAGCCAGGGAGGCGAGCCTCCGCAGGGCAGGGCGCCCCGGCCCACCCGAGTTATCATTTATCTTCAGGGGGTGGGGGTTCCAGCACCTTTATTATAGCTGGAGCTGTGTGGAGAATGAATAATGTTCAGAGATGTAAAACAATAAAAGCTCCAGCGTCCATCTTCTCCAAACCCAATAAGACTTGGTTTGTAACTCTATGCTGACAAAATGTTTTAACGTTTAGAGGAAGAATAAAGTCTTCTCGCTCTAAAGCCGGTGTAGCAGGCCATAATACACCCCCCGTCCACACGAGGGGCCCAGACTAGATTATACCCCGGGCCTGTTCATACCCTCAGGCCAGATTATCCGCCTTGATGCCAGTGTTGAGTCATAAACACATTGTTTAGCAGAGGTTGGTGGTAAACACAGTCCGTCTGGATCTCCAGCTCAGAGTTCGCACCGAACCATCAGAGTTTAAACACGAAGTTGGACTGATCTGCAGTTTTCACAACTTTAGTAACTCTTTTTACACAATCGCTGGTTAAGACGGAGGATCTTTGGAGATTTAACCAACTGTTACATCGTCTCTTCCTGTTCCCACAACATCGACACTTTTTCTGGAGTTTCTACGTCCAAACAGATATTTTTGTCTTCTTTCTCCAGGTCATGTTTTTACAAGTTCTGAGATCAGTTGACTCCATGTGCTCATAGTTTCTTTTAGTGAGCATTGTTGGAACATGTGGCTCTTTTGGACGATCCACGGAGCGACAGAGTCTTTACGGGTCAAAATAACCCAACCTTTTTCTCCTGTCCTGGTTTTTTCAGGTGGAAGTGAAGCCGTACGTCCTTGATGACCAGATGTGCGACGAGTGCCAGGGGGCACGCTGCGGCAGCAAGTTCGCCCCGTTCTTCTGTGCCAGCGTCACCTGCCTGCAGTACTACTGCGAGTACTGCTGGGCCAGCATCCACTCACGGGCCGGCCGGGAGTTTCACAAGCCGCTGGTGAAGGAGGGGGGCGACCGCCCCCGACACGTGTCGTTCCGCTGGAGCTGAGAGGAACCGAACCCACACCTGAGCTCGAAATCCCCCTCCAGCATAAATCAGACAGTGCCCCATCTCCCCCACCATGTTCAGACCCAGACTCATTGTGCGATGGTCCCTGCTGATGAAGATCTGTGGGAAACTAAAGTCCTTCAGCTCATGATTTGCACTATGGCCCAAGATCTCACTGATCATCACTGAATGGTTTGTTGGACTCATGGCTTCTTTCAGTTTCCTGTTCGGTTGACCAAAGGGTTTGGTACTTCCTGTTGGACCCCTCCCCTTACTGAATCGGGGTGGACCCATCAAAAGCTTAGACAAAAAAATCCATCTGAAAAAAAAAATTGTGTTGTGCTAATCTGTACAGATACATATTATTTAAATTTTATGCAAAAGGAGCATGCACTTACTTTGAAATTGCTTTAGTTATTTTGCCCCTAATAAAAATAAAGGCTTACCAAAAGGTAATTTGAATTAATGCAAACAGAAAAGCAAAATAGGTGTCATCAAATGTAGCAAGATTAACCAATCTGCCTAATCGTTGGGGCTCGTCCTGCCCAGAGTAAAGAAAAACGATACGTTTGCTCTCAGAGTTAATTCAATTCAATCAAATCCGTTTGCTGTCGATTGCTTCGTCTTTATTTTATATCTTTATCTTTTAGTGTTCTGTTAATGCACTGCTGCTAAATCCATGGTATGAACAGGTACCATAACATACTTTATTCTGAAAGAAGCACTGGGTGTTTCCAGTCGACAGGCTTTTCTGGAGGGGTGAGGTGCTCCCCAACACTTCCTGGGGGGGGGGTCAGGATGGGTCGCCCCAACTGCATGTTTATTTCTATCAGGTTGCTGCATGCTAGAGACTGTTCAGTATCGTCTCCACTATTCGACTCTGTCCGCGTTTGCACAAACTAGACGCACGTTCAACTTGCACAAAAGTGGACAGAGACAGGAAAGACTGGACTAAACCGGGCTGACGGCTCCACATCCGGACCACCAAGGGGGGGTAAAAAACACAACTAATAATCACAAATGTAATGTAGGATAACCATTTAAAATGCTCTAATAGGTAAAGTACTTTTTGCAGTGGTTGTTGATATATTTGTGCAATGTTTTATACTGTATGTAGCTCTTCGTATGCCTAGAACTGTGACTTGCTTTAACTGTTGTTAACGTCCGACATAGAAGTCCTGTGAAGCTTCGTAACTAGTGTATGCACACGTGAATATATGGAGACTTTCATCTGTGCACACTCCTGCACAAAAACACACACAGGTCTGACTTGAAGAGGAGACGCAACAAACGTGAGCTTACACTCAAAACTGATGGCTTAAAAACGGATGAAAGAATCAGCGTTTTGTTTGATGGAAGCGTACGTTTACGATCCTAAAGGCAACCAAAGAGCGAGGAACGTTGGTCTGACGTCCAGTCGACACTCCTCTGGATATGTTTTTGTCTCCGTCCACACGAGTCTTACTGCTGCAAAACCAAATTAACCATGAAAAAACAAAAGGCTCAGCTTGGATAAAGATTTTGACAGTTTAGTTTCTTACAGTAGTCCCTCACTACTTGTTGGTTTCTCACTTATCGCGGGGCTTCAGGGCACGGACCCCCCACGATAAACGAGGGACCGCTGCATCTCACTGGGCTTCAGCTGTTCGAGACTAAACATTTTGACAAAATTGGCAACTTCCCTTTAGTTTCAGTTTGAGTTTTTGCAACCTGCAAACCAAATTAGTAGCGAATTTGTGAAAATGCACGGCTTGTAAATATCGTACCCACCTCAGCCCACTTTGTACCTACCCTGGCAGCCATTCCATACAAACAAAACTGTGAGCCTCGGAGACTCATACAAGGAACTTCAGAATCCCTGCAAATGTTTCTGGACATTTTAGAGTCTTCCTCAGCCAGCGGTCAGCCGAGGGAGAAACTGGATTCAGTTATTAACATTTCGGTCTATGATCCAGTTTGAATAAAGCAAGACAGGAAAAGAAAACTGCTAAAATAAAAAAAGATTATTTTGGTTTCTAGAGCACAAAAGTTGGCGTGAGCAAAGCAGGTAGTTTGTGAAAACCTTCACATCTCCGGAGTCTGTGCGGCTACGACACAAACGCTTCTTAAAACACGTTTTTCTCACCGGAAATCTTGAGAAATGGTTTTAACAGTTAAAATATCCAGAGAAGTGTAGACTGAACGTTGCAGCATAAAAGCTGCAAGAGACCTCAGAATGACGAACTGAGCTGATGATAAACAAGGGGGAGATGGCGGGAAAAGGTTAGCAGAACATGCTAATGTGTGAGCCAGGTTAACGCATTTATCCAGATTTTTTTCCTGCAAAGCTTGAAGTAATGGACCTGTTTAAAGAAAACTGATAAATATTTGTTGTTTTTTAGCAAAGGGAGTTTGTTTTAAACACAAACGAGTAAAACTGGTGGTCATGAAGTCGTAGAAACTGCTAAAGACTATCAGCTCTGATTTGGCGGGAAATTGGTCAATGAGGGGGATTTCCTTTCCATTTTATATTAGTCGTAAACTGTTTTATTTTCTATTTTAGGATGATTTTGTTTCCCGTTTGTGCAAGAAATGCTAACTATAACGAGGCAGAATTTATTTTTTATTTTTTTACTGACAAAATCAAAAAGCTAACCGTGAGTAATAATAAGCATCTTTATTTAAACAGAGTTCTGGGAATTTTTTGTGACTTTCCTTTCCCCGCCCTGATAGTTTTCTACGTTTGTGCCTTCTACGGTAGATATTTGTTGTGCACGACACTTTGTATCGAAGCAGAAGTCAGCACGTCTTTTTGTTCAAGGACATAAAGAGAAAAAAGACTGACAAATATTTTGCAATACCTCAATTTTGAAATATATTAAGAGATATTTTCTACGTTTATTCAGATTAAAAATATATTAATTTAATTCTTTAAGATGAATTTAACAGATGGTTGTTTTTAGTTTATTATGCTTTTTTGCTCTTGTTGAGAATTTATTTTTGAAAATACAGTGGAAGGAGTTTTATAACTAATATAATGACGTAGTTCGAGTATTCTCTCTTGTTGCAGTGGAAGAAACCGAATCCTCTGCTTGAATCAGTCAAAATATACAGAAGCTGAATATCAGGTGCTCTGACACAAAACTGATTCTGTCAACTTCTATTCAATCATTTACTGTTGACCAGAGTTGAGAAAAACAAATCTTCAGTTTTTGTTTGTGTGTTTTTTTTATTTAATATTTTATGCTTTCTAAAAGTTTGTGGTCCTTTTTTGTTTTGTAAAAAAAAAAAAAAAAAAGTAAAAAAGCAACATAATTATGATTTGTTAATTTGACAAATTTAGAAAAAATAAAAACTTGTGGAAATCACTGGACAACCGAAGGTAGAAATAAAATAATGTCTATTAAAAAGTTTATTTCTGGTTCTGTGAAAAGGTTATAAACGTTCTTTGAAAGACTTTTGTCAAAAATGGTTTCATTCTGACGGTAACGAGCGAACTTAAGCAGATAAAGGCAAAGTGGATTGTTGCCATCCTAAAACATTAATCTCCAAATTGCTGTTGCTTTACACGTCAGCTTCCCGTTTCAGTTCAGCAGCAGCTAGCTGTAGCACTTACAGCGAATTACATAATTGTGTAGTATAAACCCGACTGTTGTGAACATTCAAACACTGTAGAGCCTATGTTGAACTGCAGTAAACTTTTATTTTGTTCCAAGATGAGAAAATCTGATTTACAAATGGTCCACTTTAACTGTAACGACTAGCTAACGTTGGCTAATTGCCGTTAGCTCATAGGTTAAGTACCTGGGAACTCGGACCAGGAATGGTAATCCACCCGACTTAACAGTGTTCAAATTGCAAATCGGAAAACCACTGGAATTTGCAAAAAGAGAAAAGGAACTAGACGCTGCAACTGGCCACCAAAACATAGGCTAATGTAACATGACCCAACTTATCTAAAAGGTTGGGTAGAATTGTTTGGAGCCACGTTGCTATAGTCCATGTAGCCATGTTGAAAGCTACGACATATACAACACGTAGCCACGTACGTAGTTACGGGTCATATTGAAGCTACGACCCATGTGACCATGTTGGTAGCTACTATATATCTATTTCTATCTCTTATCTATCTCCCATCTAGATATATCTATCTACATATAGATATAATTGTAGCTATGACGTGTGGCGTTGGTACGTTTGTGCAGAAGCCCCACTATAAAGCATCCAAAGTATTTGACCACCAAGCAGACAGGATAATTGTCACTTGTATCAAAATGCTCTCTATCCCCACTCCGTCAGTTGAGTGACGGCCTTCTGTTCATGCAAAACTTGAATTTTTCTTAAAGGCTAAGAACCTTGATTCTTTGTTGTAATGTGCAATACTGTTTGTAGAAAAAAGAAATACTCGTAAATCTTTATTGCAGAGTAATTTTCATTACAAACTTGTGATCCACCAAAATCATTTTCTACTGTATATTACCTACTCTTCCTGGTCGTACCCTCCAGTGGTAATGTAGCCTTTGTACTAAAAATGTTTCATTTTTTTAGAAAGTTTTGCTAAAATAAAAATAAAGGTAACATTTAATTTTTTTTATTTAATTTTACATTTTTCTTTACAAACTTTGTCAACTGTTGAGGGAGAAATTTTCCACATCTGGTCAATGTCAATGCTATTTTGTATTTCTACTTTTAATAAATTATTTTTTGGGGCTTTAATTCTTTTACATTTTCCATTTGTTCACTTTTATTTTTTTAAGTTGGGGGGGGGGGGGGGTATTGTAAGCGGTCTTGTTTTTTGCTGAGCTTTGTGTTGACTTGCTGACATGTGAAAATGATCCACTACAGAAACAGATTGGTGGTTGGTGATGTATTAGTGATTTGGAGTGTCGTCAAGGGAATGGGCAATAAAATAAATATCAGAACCGAGCGTACATGCAGTATGTTGTGGTGTAAACATGGAAAACAAATGCCGCTGATTGTTTCCTACAGTAACTGGTGTCACTGAGCTTGACTTTCATATGAAACATTAAATGAGTCACTCTGGCCTTGACTGTATGCAGGTGTGTTAATAGTCCTCATGGACTTGTGCTTTTCTCCTTAT